ACGCCTCGGCACGCGTGGCCCTGAGTTCGAATCCCACCGTCGGAGCATTTTAAATTAGTATACGTTTATCAGGCACGCACGTTCGCTGCGCCGACTTCCCTGGCGTCCACGCGCGTGTTGACGCCGTTACCGGTTATGATGATGCAAACACGTTTATTGAGAGGGATAACAATATTATCTGGGGTGCTACATTCCAAAACCACGAGGGGACCATGAGAGACGCCACAGTGAAGGGCTCCCCGAAATTTTAACCATTCGGTGTTCTTTATTGTGCATCGACAACGCACACTATACACGGGCCTCTACCGATTCGGCTCGATGGAAATGCTACGGCCGCGGCCAGGATCGAATCCACGACCTTCGGGTCGGCAGTAGAGCACCGTAGTCACTGCTCCACTGAGGTGGGCTTATTCCCGAGGAAGAGGTTAGAGCTTATTAGTCCGAAAGTCATATGGTATAGTAATCTTTTTGTGGTATGGTTACACTTTAATAATTCTACTCTGGATGTTGTCTTTATCAGAACAACGTTCCTTTGCTATGCCGAGTTCCTGTATGGATGTCGGATATTGTCTTCATCATGATTGATAATGATTTATATGTGGGGCTTACAGTCCCAAAACCACCATATGATTATGAGAGACACCGTAGTGGAGGGCTTCGAAAATTTCGACTACCTGGGGTTCTTCGACTTGCACCCGAATCTGAGCACGCGGGCCTACAACATTTCCGCCTCCATTAGAAATGCAGCCGCCACAGTCGGGATTTGATCCCGCGACCTACGGGTCAGCAGCTGAGTACCTTAGCCACTACCACCACGGCGGAGCTATTGTATTCATCAGACCAACCTTTTTTTTTAAATACTGAGCTCTAGGACTGAGGTGTTTTGTAGGAATGCACCTAAATTTGCAGATAAACAGCTATGCAATTGATTCAGCTCGTAGTTCTATAGTCAAGATATTGTCAAGATACGTTCACGAAGCAATTACGAGTGAAATAATAAGAAAATTTTCGCACAAGGCAACGGAACGAAAAGTGGCCTCAATTTCTTTAGGTCAGAAACTACTTTCTATAGTTTTTGCGTCTACACGATGAGCTCTTGATATTCCACCCTTATTGGGAGAGAGCAACACAGAAACGCGCATCACAAGTCGGATTCAAGTAGCTGAGAAACTTACCCCTTCCCGACTAAACATTGGCTCTATATACCTGAATTTGGACAGTTGACACCACGACGCCAATATAGTATGCTAATGAGGTTCCGGTTATGTAACAATCGCTGTTCAAGCCGCTGTTAATACAGTTATTTCATGCAGAAACAGCAAATGACTGCGTAAGGCAAGGTTGTTGTAGTGGAAAGATTATATATATATATATATATATATATATATATATATATATATATATATATTATATATATATATATATATATATATATATGTTTTCATTAAGAGGCATCAGCAGAATGGCCGAGCATCTCAAATATCATGTTTAACATTCCTTGGCAAGATTTGCTTGCATTATGTGTGCCAGAAATGCAGATAGTGATACGACAACGAGGATGTAAATATCAACTCTGAGTGTAGTTATAGCTATCACTCAACTTCCTCAGGACCTTCAGAATTTTATTGCAGCCTCTAGCGAGATGGTAGACCCCCCCTTCTCACCCACTGTCGGTTCTCTTCTTTTTTAAGTAGGTTGTTGGGGAGAGATTGAAGCTTATATTACTTATGCTGCTTCATTTCTACAAATTCTTCACCCAAAAAGAAAAAAAAATGGTTACCCAGAAAAATTAACAACTAAAAAAAACCATAGCAAACGGAAGGAAGTTCAAACAGCATGGTAATAAACAGTTGACTTGCAGGTGCTCACATTGCAATGAAGCTTCCACAGGCACACATTTCTAGTTTCGCCCACAGTATATGGACTAACACATTATTTCATATGTAGCGACACACAGCTGTCCATCACAAGAGCTTATATAGGTGTGGCACATGTATGAGAGCTACTGAAGGACTTCTCACCCACTCGCGAATGTGTGCCAAAACTACATAGAAGATTACGTATAACGAACAGTGCGTGTCTACCGATCAGATGCGAAAAGCTCAAGTACAATGCACTTGAATGTTTCGGGGAGTTCTCTATATATTTCTCGTGCGGGTTACCGCTGTTCCTATCTGCCCGGTGAACGTAATGGTAATTCTTCAACACAATAGCTCAAAAAAAGGTGCCAAGTGCGTAACTGAAATAAGATCTCGTGATGCCGCTGCGAACGTGGTGGACGTTTCTTCCTTTTTCTCTTATAAATGCCTCAGTATTATTTGTGCGCGGAAACATTCACGTACATCTTACGAATACAAACTAAAGCTAGCCCGCCTGTCCTTTCACTGCCATTGCGCAGAACTTCTTTCCAAAATAGAAGGCTATTTGGTTTTCTCGTAGTGCATGGCTCGCAGTGACGTAGCAAGGGGGTAGCACACAGGGCCCGTGCCCCCCGCCAAATAGTTTTTTGTTATCGCACACAGAGTAAAATATTACTATATCCGGGAGGTATAGACCCTCCCCCCCCCCCTTGAAATTTAGGAGGTGCCCCCCCCCCACATCCTCCGAAAAACAAATCACAGCATATCCACGAAGTGAATGATGATGACAGAGATTCATTTTAATAGAGATCTAGAGAACTTTGCCTGGCTTTTCACCTGACATGCTACTCCAGGTACCGGGTGATGACTGTGATGTATACAGTGATAAACACATAACACATACGGTCCCTTACATGCACAAGATGAGTGGGCGAAGCTCCGAGGGGGGTCATTCGGGTAATCTTGAATGCCCCGTACTTTGCCCACTTGAATATTCGATTGAGAAACAACACGTTTCCACAGTATATACAATGTTGTTTTATAGGTCGTCGTATAGGCCAACTACGCGCAAACCATTCGCGAACGAGAGCGCTTTCACGATCATTTTTCTTCATGGCAGAAAGAGAATGTGTGTCTTGGTCGTCATCGTCGTCATCGTCGTCGTCATCGCGTATAGTGTGTACCTTGCATTGGGCTGTGCCGTGATGGCAGAAAAAATATGTGTGGTCTGGAACACGCTTGCTCTTCATCGTCATCAGCGTCGTTGTCATCACGATTGACGGCACACATTGCTCGACCCTAAGGAGCTTCGCCCCCTAAATACTTTCTGCCTACGCTCCCGATGGCTCATCGATATTTTTTGAAGCTCTTGTTTTTTGTTGTTGTTAAGCGATATAGTGATGGCTTTGTCTTTTTCTGCCTTGCTTTGTGTATTTTACTTTGCCTTTTTTCTGACGTGCGAGAAGGGTGCAGCAAATGACGGAAATATGATAGCTGAAATTCTTCTCGCTTTTGAATCAATGATCAAAATCAATAAATAAATAAATAAATAAATAAATAAATAAATAAATAAATAAATAAATAAAATGCAGCCAAGATTTTTCTGCATGCTGTACGCCAATAGAATTGTGATGACATCGTAAACTCGAGTACTCCGAAATAAATCGAGTCACCTCCTCGCAGGGTAACCCATACGAAACTCCGAACGAATTCCTTCCAGCGTTCAGCGGGTCAGCATTGTTTACAGAGCTGGAATGACGTTCGGGCAACGCCAACTGCGACCACAGGGTGCCTTCTCTAGTTGAGCCCGCGGTGCATTTAGGGCTGAATGGTGGACCCATGCACCCTATTTCTTTTTTCTCTCGTTCCCATAGAACGGATATATCCCAACTGCTCGTGCGTGCGCACTTTCTTCGGCCCAGTCCCCTCCTCCCACGACACGGATTCCTAGGGGTTACCAGAAGGTCAGCGGGCCTTCCGAGGTCCGGTCTGTCGACCAGCCAGGTCGTGAATGACCTCCGCTCATCGCCGTCCTTTCTCTCGGAGCTATACGATGGGGCTCCGTTATTCTGTAATCGAGTTACAAGCAAAACACAAACTGCGCCGAGGACCCCGAGCGCGCCTGAAACAAGAGTGCGGCCCTCTCACCCACCGAGCTCCTCTCCACGACGCTTCTTCCGAGTGAAAGCTGGTTGTGCCCGATTCCGCTCTGCTTGGAGGCACGGCGCTTATAAAAGCGTGGTCCGGCCCGTCCCTGCTTAGAACTGACATCCCTGCGTGGACCGTTGCATCCGCCCCGGTGAGTCGCCGGTCCCTCGCCTGGCCACGGAATAACGCCTCGCAAGTGCGCACGTGCCGGTCTCGGCCTGACGGGCGTGCCCCTTCCGCGGTGCATCGCCGGTAGCACGCGAGTGACCCCACCGAGACTCCACAGGCACCGTTTAACATTGCGTTTGCTTCTCTCGGTGGATTTCACTGACTCCGCATGTGCGGTAGGCGAGGTACTCTTTGTGCGGACGAGCGTCCAACACGTAGCCTCCGTGTTTGACTCTCTTCCCGTCGGAGCATCCAATAGCTTTTTACCTATACAGTGTTTCAGTGAATCAAAGTAACGCGTGATAGACAACTTGCGCAGTGAATCAGAAAGAGGAAGTTTTTTTTGTTTTTTTTTTCGTGCACCGTAGTCAAATTGGTTGCGGCCTCTAAGCGTTTCCAAAGCTGCATGTGACGCGCCAAATATAACGTCTTAACTACTTCTCATCTGTCGAGTTTTGACAGAGTCGATCAGAAAAACAGCCGCCCTATACCACCAGAAGAAACAACAATTTTCACTTAAGATGTTCAACGTCAATGTATAACGCCACTTACGAAGTCATTGGCCACTGGAACGGTTTTGAATTTACCAATTACGTAATAGGTCACAAGCTTTCTTACTATGTTGTTTCTAAAATTTCGCACAAAGAAGCAGCCTCTAATTTGTCACCTTAAAAAAAAAAGCACGTCTACGTTAACTTTCTCGGAACGGTACTAAGTCGGGTTTAGTTTTAAAAAAAAGTGATTATAAGAGTCTTCCGTACGTTTATAAAAAACTATTTTCTGAGTATGTGTCCTGATGCTAATTTTGCTTGATAATATTTTCAGCTTACACCGATTCGCATAAAAAAAAATGAAGGCCTTCATTGGTGAGTATACCCTTGTACTACGTAGTTGTGTCGCCATAATCTGTGTATAAACTCAATCGGATTGGTCTTACCAAGCACGTGAACTGTACAGCATGTTACAGCCTATGTTGTCTATGAACGAGTCGTAAACTGGAAAGGTCGAATTTGGAAGTATATAACTCTACTAGGTCAGGTAGAGCAGCTTCACCAAACCTTTGAGAGTTTCACTCTGTTCTGCGCATCGATTTCTTTGATTATCCCATATGTCAGTCAGTTGGCTCATTTCCTTCATAATTCTTCATTAAAATGGCGAGTACTAAAGGAGAAAGCTGCCTAAAGTAGATGGGTAATGTTAATATAGGAGTCCATAGATATCAATATTCTCATCATTAATATTTTTACTACATGTAGGAGCCAAACATTTGCACTGTACAGGTTGCCCCACACTAATTCATGTCGGCCATACAAGCAACACCACAATTAGGTTAGCTTGCTTTACGGCTGCTGCCAAAAAGCTTTTCGCTACGCGGAGTTTGTCATCTTGCTCAAGTTTAAAGCCCTCAAATTGATCTTTTGGATGTGCGCTCCGTGCTTAAATTGACTAATTAATCTTTTATCAGTTCTAGCTGCTGTCGCCGTAGCTGCCATCGCTTTGCCAAGGGTAAGTGGCTTGAAAACCTTCATGCACGATATAATGATACATGTTCCTCGGGAATGTTCGCATTCACATGACATTATAGAGGCGTTTTCCAAGCTTATTTCAATACATTCTTGTTTTCATATAATAATTTCATACTTAAACTGCTAATTTTATGTCAAAACGATGACTAAGTAAATTTTACGCGTGTTATTCTTGAAAAAAAGGTTTTAAAAATTTAAGCGAAAGAGTGATATAACGCTGATATCGCGAAGCACTGTTAAAACATCGAGAGAAACCACCAACATGTTCTATTTCATCGGCTGCATTTGTGCTAGCTGTCCCAACTACCGCGTAAAAAAAAAATCCGCTTGCTCACAGCGTCACACTTATCGTTACAATATGAAAAAAGCATCCATGTGAATCTTACAGCTTTAGTTCTTAACAATCGCATAACATTCAAAACTAACAATTGCTTGTAAAACTTCAAGGAAGTGTGGCCAAGTGAAGTAACTTTCTTAATGCTCTCAGATATTTCCAGTGAACTTCTTAATTGCAGTCGCTATTGAAATAGGTTAAAAAAGGAAAACGCGAGTATTCAAAACCGTCAGTTTATTGAGGCTATTCACCACGTGCTACACGTTTCCAAACACCCTTTTTACAGTCCAAGCGAGCGGCATATGAGCTACCAGATGGTGCCGAATTTCTGGTGGGCGGCTTCCGAACGTCGTTCACGTGCCCGGCCAAGAACGGCTACTTCGCCGATGTCGACAACAACTGCCAAATATTCCACGTGTGCAACGTGGTCACCCACGCCGATGGAAACACCGAGGTGCAGCAGTACAGCTTCCTGTGCGGTAACCAGACCGTCTTCAACCAGCTGAGCCTGACGTGCGCCTTCGCCGAGGAGGCCGTGCCGTGCCAGAACGCTCCCGACTTCTTCTACGTGAACGACAACATCGGAGTCGAGACGGCTCCATTCCTCACCGACAACGACGTCCAGCGGGCGGCGCAGCTGATTCCATCTTACAAGGCCAAAGCTTGAATCCGCAAGCAAATGATCGCCAAACGCCGAGTGCTTGATGCCACGCGCCGGGGATAGTGTACTGCTAGGATGCCTTTGTAAGGGATACATCTTTGCTTTTAGGTTGAACCAGCAGCGTAAGATTGCTGAAGTCGGCGCCGCAGTAGCTCAAGAGTGCCGTAGCGCATATAGCGGGAAGCAGTGGAAGCGCTGCATTGCAGCATTTGTGGGCATTCGTACCGATAACAGGGATCACGACGATACCATTTATAAATAACCTGCTTTCCTATCTCGCGCAAGGCTAAACAGCCATCACTTCCCAAGCCTGCTAAGCTGAACATCTTGCTTAAAAGGTTTTTCCGAGCAAACTTTCACTTTGCCGGTAAGGAGGCTGCTGGGAATCACAGCATATTACGCCATCCTTGACAGGAGCTGGGCTCAACCTAATAGCAAAAACAATATGAGTGTATATGAAGGCGTCCTATTTCATGCTAGCTACCAGCGCCAATGTGTCATGTTCTTTTTGTTTGAGAGGGTTATACACTTCCTAAATACATACTGCGTTCTTGCGAGTCGTATTGGTGCTATAAGGGCTGTCTCACTTTTATCTCAGTGCTGTAATGGTGCATGGCGCGCACCGCTTCACGCAGTAACTGTATGTCCCTGCATATCACGGGAGACGAGTGCGAAAGGAAAACGATGCTTACAATTTGAAGAAAAGATGAGGGGCGTCTTTTCCGCTTGGTAAGAAGGCAGTGTGCTTAATCCTCAGGGGTGCTTTAGAAAACCTAAGAGGGGTAAAAATAAAAAAAAAGAACGCGGTGACACCTATGTACTTAGAAGCTCGCAATTTCGCTTTAAAAAATGTCGAATGAAGTTCATGCTATTCCTGACATTCGGTAAATATTATACTTGAGCGTGTTAACTTGCCACGTACTCCTCGTCTGGCAACATAATGTATCGCGACGAGTGTATTTTAATGAGGAAACTAGGAATTCTGATAGCAATCAGTTTACTCCACACGAAACTAGCCCAGCGAGTAGATTTGGCGTAGGAGTTGTGACAGCGTGTCAGCCAAGAGAGCATTGAACGCCTCCCATATTTATTGGCTTCTCAAAATTACACAAGTGTGCCATTATATTCGCGACATTTAAGGACATGTTTATGAAGCTTCGCTGCAGCCTGAAGCGTTTTCATGCGCTGTGACGCTTAGGTTAGTTTGTTTTTTCTTGTAATATGCTACGCAAACGCGCACGCATATAGTCATTGCTTCAAAGGATACTCGGTGGCGCTGTTCCCATCTATGTTCTCGCACTAACGTCATACACTGCGGTGCCACTGTTGTTGTTTTGTTCATTGTTATTGTTCACGTCTTATCGTGGGTATCTCATGTATTCTTGTTGTGGCTGTGGGTCTTGCCCTGTGTATATATATACGCACTGGTTGCTCTCCGATTTCTCTCGTGCTGTGCATGCTCTATTATTGTACAGTTTATATACAGAACACGTTGCAACATAACACTGCCAATAAAATTGTGCGCATGACGATTTACGTTTGATTCAATACGCAGCATTACAGACACCGGTAGGTAAAATTACGAATAGCCTCCTCAAAGGTAACAAAAACAGCAGTTTATTAGCATAAAAGTAATTAAAGACTTCGCCTTGAGAAAATACGAGCACAGTAAAAATGGTTAACAATATTTGATATAGCTAGGTCAACTTAATCGAGAAGTCGTATTAAAGAACAAAAACAAAAAAAGTTCGAAGCCGTATTCGTTGCCTGCTATTATACTTTATATTATATGCTGGCTAAGCTGCGTTGACACGTTCATAGTATACTTCGGCGTTTACTTCCATTCATATAGCTTCAATGATAATGCTACTACATATAAACTGCCAGAGGATGAGAAAAACTATGAAACATGAAATAATTTCTACGGCTTAACGCCCCAAAACCACCATATGATTATGACAGGCACCGGAATAGAGAGCTCCGGAAATTCCAATCACCTGGGGTTCTTTAACGTGCACTTAAATCTAAGTACTCTCATACGCGGGCCTCAAAACTTTCGAACGTAAGCATATGGGGAATGCGAAACAAAATTTCAGTGCGAAAAAAAATCATATTCTAATTTATGCATAAATAGCAGTCATTATATGCTTGGACGTAAATCAACGCATTTTCTTCATGTCGTACAAACTTGCACTGAAACTGGGGTTGTTTTAATGGTCTTTGCTCCACTCGCTCACGTACTTGTGCTGCGAAGCGGTGTCTCTGGTTTAATTTTTCAAATGCCATGACCATTCGCGGGGTACTTCACGCACTCCCCAGTGTTCATCGATGCCCGGAGATAAGCGTTGTTTTTTCAATCTAGTCAACTTGGTTCTCTAGAAAGGTGCAAACTTTGGCCACTGGCGAGGGTGTCACTTCATAGGTGTATTGCTCGGTGCCACCCTAAAGTAAATCTTTTTGGTGCCAACTAGAAATCACTTAACATGTGGCTATGGGTATGTACAGATCTGTATATAACAGACTTTTAAATCATATCATCACCTGTTAATCGCTCATCATATTGAGTAGACTGCCAATCATCTTGAATCTCCAGTTGTTTTCGATAGATTAATGTTACCACTTTGCAAACTATACAAACTGCTTTTCCAACAAGGTAAGGGGATGAAAACGTCCTTTCTGAGCTATTTTATAACCATAAAGCGCTACAAAACTCTCGCGTTCTAATGCAAATAAGGAAATTGGGCTGAACGCAGGACGATGGTCGAATCCCTCTCCCCCCTCCCACACACACACGCATACACACGCCGACACACACAGCGTGTTTTGTACATAGAACGAAACAAGAAATTACACGCTTTTTGATACAGCAAACATCACAGACGAATAATAGAAGCTGAACTTGAAAAATAAATCTGCTTGGAAATATTACGTTTTTATTTCAGAACCACAAAGTCAAGTGTCACGCATTGGAAACAATTCATGCACCTGACTTTGTTTCCTCCCACAGCTTCTGATCATGGTTATAAAGGCAAAATACAATAACATTAACACAGAAGAATGTTAGTACTAAATTAATGCCTTTTTCCTATATCACCGTTAATCCTGTACGATTAACTTGCACACAACAAGCATATAATGTAAACTCTACAGATTGATGCCACTTATTATTGCGAAATCAAATATTGTCTATAGACCTTTTTTTTAGCATGGGCGCCGCCATATTGCCTAGCGAGCGGCAACATTAATGGCCTGGCAAGCCACTGGTCCGTGCAAAGCTGTGCGTTTATTTGGAAAGTGTTCGTACGGTTGCAGTTGCTGTCGGATTTTTTTTTCTTTCTGGCATGCTGAATTTCGTCTCTCATGGTGTAGGTTATGTATGAAATGAGCCTGTGAAACGTTTTGAGAGCTTTTGATCTGTTCGGGATCAAATATAACATTATGCGACGACACGAACGTGTCACAAGTGGTCGGTGTCGTATGTTCTCTTTCTGTTGGAAAAACATAAGACTATTTCGGCTTGTTCTAGCAGGAAAAGCAAGTTCTGGAACCATTTGAAGATGCAATACATTTTTTTACAGTGAAAGCTGTTATGAGATCACAACTCGGGTACTCGCGCAGTGCCGTAGTTGCCCGCCACCGCCGATGTCCGTAACCACATCACGCAAAAGTAGAACCCGGGTCCGCTGGGTGCCAGCACAGTATTTTACCACTGAGCCACGCCGGTGCTTGGAACTTGTTGGCAAACTTGCCTTAGCTAGGCTTAATATTGGGAAATCAATCACGTTAATACAACTTACAAAGCGTTTTAAAACACCCAAAGAACAAGCAGTCGTCGCACAATGCGAATGGCGTAACGAGTGGGTCGTCCAATGCGCCAACCCATTAAAAAAAGTTGTTTTTGCCCAGCTATTAACTGTGGCGCATACCCAGTTCAGGCATAATTCCTCATCGTCATCAGTCACTGCACGAACAATTGGCACAAAATTCCTCGTAATAGTTTAACGGATACCACGCTTCTCAGAAAACTGATGAAAAATAGCATAGCGAATGCCCGCCTAATACCCTAAAATCTTTATTATTAATGTCGTCGTGGGCATCAAGCAAGTGCGCTTGCAGCAGTTACCCAAGGAGTCTTTAGAAAAGGCTCTGAAAGGCCGCTCTTCTAGCTTTCGCTGTGACTGTGCTGCGCCTTCCGCGCAGACCTGGCGCAGAAAACAGAGGCGAGAACCGCAAAAGCTGAGAAGTTACGTGTTTGCGGTGGGGCCGCGCTTTAGTGCATGCGTGACAGCTTACAGAAACACTGGCCTTTGTACGTTGATGCTCTTGTTTCTACCGTTAGCAAGTTGAACTGATTATTTTAGGAAATTATGACAAAAAGAAACAAATGGAAGGCAGTGAAGCAGAGAAAAATCAAAATTGAAAATCGGTTGGGTGATGTTTGATTAGTGGTTACGTAATTTGATTATTAACTTGGACATCAAGTACAGAAGTCAAAAGTCACGTGCAGAAGTCGGCAGGATAGCGTATGCCACCGATATTTTCTCACTCTTTTGAATATTAGGTAGACTTCTCATATTCGAGCAAAGATTTGTAACAGTGAACCACGACCAAGGCCCCACCGAGGTGGTCTAGTGGCTCAGGTACTCGGCTGCTGACCCGCAGGTCGCGGGTTCGGATCCCGGCTGCGGCGGCTGCATTTCCGATGGAGGCGGAAATGAAGGAGGCCCGTGTGCTCAGATTTGGGTGCACGTTAAAGAACCCCAGGTGGTCGAAATTTCCGGAGCCCTCCACTACGTTGTCTCTCATAATCATATAGTGGTTTCGGGACGTTAAACACCACATATCAATCAAATCAACCACGACCAAGACAACCAATGTACTGCTGTGGAGGTAATGTACCAGCTATAAAAATCCTCATTTTCTAAAGAGCAACTGCATGCAGTAACATTAAAATTTTCAGGTTTGTTCTGCACCATTTGTTGACCCCAACTGTTCGCGGACGTTCGCGAAAGAGATGTGGAGAAGCATTATTTATTTGTAGGAAGACCTACCCGTCCATCGCTAATTCGTGTACGTCATACTCGACCTTGACACGCGTTTCGGCATTCGCTTGAACAGCGGTATAATGTTGAATAAATGTAAGATTAGCCACTCCCCATAAATAAAATCAGTTAAAGACTTAAAATGAGTAAAAACCACTCTATATCGCGAAACAACATGCATAAATTCTAATTGCGGAAATAAGTAGTTGTCGAAATGCTAAAAGGGCGCTGCTGCCCCAGCGTGCAGCTCGTGGAAGTGAGTGGCAGTTGGCGCATACTAAATGCAAATGTTAGAGTGAGCACGCTAAAATACCCATGCAACGTCTACGTGTGAAGGCGCATTGTCTTCAAACAGCTGAGAATAGGCTGCTGCCACTGACACGCGTGTACCTCGTGACACAAGAAAAGAAATCGCTCACAGCTCACCAACGTGCGAGTGTATACGTAGGTTTCGACAGCCGAACACAGCCTTGTGGCGCTGGTGTCCGCAAATTTCAGTGAGAGAAATACCCGAGGTTCACGAGGAAGCACTAAAACGACGCACGAACACACGTTAATTGTTCTTGCGGAACGGCGCTCTACGAACCGAAGTCGGAGCTGAAAGCGCTCCCCGTGTTCGTCTCGAGTTCATGAAACTGAACAAACTATTCGCTGATCAAATACACGTGCAAACAAATGCACATGACACAAAAAAAGTTCAAGGTTCCACCAACGGTTTCCAATAAGCCACTTGGTAGATATATACCCCCGTAAAAAAACTCGCCTTCATGCGGTGTCACTGTAGTGGAATGGGTAAGACATATATGCTTCACGTGCAAGCGGTCCCGAGTTATCGATTCCAGTGCTGAGTGTGGTTTGTATGTTAATCTCGCAAATGTAGATGATTGTGATACTAATAGTTTTCTAATTACCTAGAGTCATAATATCTACCGCATTATCGGCGAGAAACCGCTCTCAGATGCCTAACATACTGCTTCTTTAAGCAACCGCGTCAGGGTAAGGCCGCCTACGGAAATGTCACGCGTAACCGCAGGCCGTATCTAGCCAGGAAACATTTGACGTAAAATCCCGACTAATCCTTGTCCCGTCTATTCTGAAGGCCACTTTGAATCGGGCCGCTTACTCTGGTACACGGCTATGGAGCCGCGTAACTAACTGACTATAAGCGGCCGTAATCGGACTTGATTTCCTGCCTACTGGCGTGTATTTTAGCCAAGATTTGTATACGATCGTGCGTTAGCGCGCAGTTGGGATTGCTTGGTGATGACGGAATTTGTTGCTCACAAAGTGTCGTCTACCTTTTGCTCGATCTTTAATGCGCCTTTATCACTTAATTGAATGCTTATTGCCCACCAGTGTGAATGAAATTGGAACTGATACTGCTGCTACACACAATGTGATCTTGATGTTTACGTGCCGGTACGCTTCTTTTTTTTCTTTTCACATTCGTGGCATTTGATTGGATTATGGCGGTGATAACGTGAATA